CTGCATTAGTTAGAATCACAAAATGTAATTTAGATTTCTTTTGGTAAGGAATATGCTTTGAATTTAAAACTGCTGTTATACTTGAATAGTCCTGAAGTAATGAGATTACAGTTCTGAGTGAAGATTATAATGAAGTTTAATGTAGTTTTATATTGTTCTTGGATTAATTTTTCTTTTAGTTCACTATTCCATGGGACAGTATATGACTATGGTAATTCATCTGATGATTAATCAGAATTACATGTTGTAGATAGCCTTATTAATAACAGGAATTAAAATAATTATTCCGACAGTCCTACTACTAATGATAATAATAATAATAATCATCATTGTGGATGAAGGTGATACACTGCAGGAAAAAGGAGCTGTACAAGGGTGATATTACACCACTTTTATCACTGGCTTTGCCTTACCAGTTGTGGCACAAGTGAGGACTTCTCAGAACAGCCAGGAGTTGCCAAGAACACTTATTTCTGTCATTGTCTCTTGATCCAGACCCACACAGTAAAGAAGGGAGGCAGGTGATGGCAGAAAGCAGAAGTTGGTGTCCTGAGAAGTGCAGACTCATCCTCCTGTCCTGTGGATTGACTTTCATGGGCAGAGAAAGGTACAAGTGCTGTACCTGCATTTAAATGCTTCTCTACACAAAATACATTCAACTGCATAAATAATTAAACACTATAAACAATTAACAAATAAAACAGCCTAATAGCAAAGGATGTAGGATACTTGTACTGCATTAAAATAGATCAGGTTTGAAGTGAGTGAATTGTGCTTTGTCAGGAAGAGAGAGACATCAATATCGTGGGGCAAACTCTAAGCAATCCAGATACCACAGTCAATTCTCCTGCCAAGGACTGTTCTTGGACTGTCTCACAGTGTGGAGAGTGTGGAGAAAATTACATCAAGGACACTCGTAAGCTGGTCTCAAAATTTGTCTGTGCCATCTGCAGCATATCTTGATGGTAATTTGCAAAGGTTGGACGTTGCTCGAGGGTGTTTTAATGTTGCCTTTCAGTCATGAGGTCCTGTTCCCTGGAAATAGAATCCCCAGGGCTGCTGTTTTCCATCAGTTCAGTCACATGACGGTGGGTACAACGAAACGAGGTTTAAGTTAATATCTTTGTTACATGCAGTGCTGTGAGAAATGTGTTTGTGTGTTTCACACATTTTCAGTGGTTTCCTCATCTTTTCTGCTGCTCCTGCTGTTGCCCTGGGCCAGTGCGGAGCCCGGGGCTGCGCTGAGCCTGCGGCCCCGGGAGCTCCCGCCCCGGCTCCGAGGTTCCAAGTGCCACCGCGTGGCGAATTTCTGCGATAATTCCTATTTTTAACCGGAGTCATTTCAGTCAGAGCACCGTTTGCGACTTGAAGCATTTTTTCCACTGATGACCTGTGTTTATTAAATAATTCTGTGATATTCTTAGGCTTTCTTTCTCTTCTCCAGAATATCTAGTGCAGGTGGTGCAGTTCCCTTTGCCTCTTTGCTGTGCCCACACCACAGCAGAAAAGCCTCGTGTGCTCAGGGGTTGACTGATTGCTGCAGTTCAGTTTATTCACTCGGCTGGTCTGAAGATGGATGTCGTGTCCTTTCTGTGTCAGTTTGGCAGATTAAAACTCAGTGATGGGAACCATTTCTACAGGGAGATTTTAGATTCCCAACTAATCAGTGTGAAGGAAAAGGAAAGAGGATGCTTAGCCACAGGACATCACTGGTCTGCAGACACCAGTTCAGGCAAGCACTGGATACTGAGATCTGCTGCACTTCTATACAGAGCTGCTTAACAGATTGTCTCGATTTAATGAGAGTGAAGATGACATTGCCCTTCTTTTATGCTCATCAAAACACTTGGCAGTGTTTTGATGTATTTTAGTTCTTTTAGTTTTAAACATTGAATTTTTTTCTCTCTCCCTAGTAAGAACTAACAAAGACACTTTTATTTATATACATTACAAGCCCAAGAGTCACAGAGAGATGCAGCACCCCCCTGGCTGAAAAACAGAAAAAATGTAAGGTATTCAAGCTTTAGGGGACAGGCATTGATAAAAATATTTGAAAATAAAATATAGATTGAAAAACTTAGTTCCAAGTTTAGCTTCTATTAGTCAGATAGATAATTGGGGAGATAAAGGGGTTGGTACTTGTAGAACAGTGAGGAAGTGTTGGCCAAAGAAAGATCATGGTATAATTAACCCCCAGGAGATACAGAGATGTAACTTTTGGTTGTGGGATTATAACTTGCTGTAAAGCAAATCTCTCAATATTGCACCTATAATGTATATAAATTACTCTGTAATTGTTAAGTTCTTAAGCTCAGGATCAAGACTTAAGAGGTCACAGATAAAGTGATTATTTTTGTAAGAAATCACCCTTTTTATTAATTTTCTGTAGGAGCGAGCACATGCTGATGAACAAGTTTGATGTTTCCCCCAACAATTCATACAAAAGCATTTAAAATTGTGTCATAGATCAAAGGTAATGCCCATTCACTCCATCCTTTTATGGTGATAAACACATTTGTTGTGGATTCATGTCAGCAAGTGCTGCATTCATGCTCTTGCAGCCTGCCTGAGGCTTCCTGCTGCTGCTGAACTTAGTGAAGTCATGAGATGTTTGGAGCTCTGCTTGGGTAGCAAACATCCAACAAGGAAGAACACATTCTTTTAGCAGCATAATCCAGGTAGTTGAGTGAATTATAAAAAGGTATAAAAATATTTGGTCCAATAGACATAATTTGCCTTAAACTGCAGAACAACACAGCTCTTGGCATAAACCACATGAAACAAGGAAAAAAATGGGAACAATAGTATTTAGGTGCTATTGTTACCATTTTAAGAGGAATAAGTCACTTTAAAGTTGTATAAAATTGTAAAACAATTAGGGATAGAGATGTTCTTGATCCTCTTCTTTAAGAAACAGAACATCACTTTTCCACCTATACACCATGAAAGAGAGGTTGAATTCTGTTTCAGGAACTTTTCCCAGATAGTTGTCATTTCCCCACACTGATGTATGTAAACTGCTAATACAGTCTGAATTGGCAAAGTTTGAGAACAGGTTTGCCAGCTTTTATTGTTCCCCAGGTTCCCTAGGTCATTGCTGAAATTACTATTTTATTAATAAAAATAAAATAATACAAACATTTAAAGGGGAAATGGTATAAAAATGTGTTACATTTTTATAATCTCTACAGGGGAGATCAACAAGGGTAACGTTACACGGCAAAGAATGAAGGGCCTGTTACTCTCTAGCCAAGTGGGAAAAAGGATGGTGAAAGAAACAGTATCAAATAGAAACATTTTCCTGCATTCCTACCTCCATTTGCCTACACTTCATGTATTTGAAACAAACATTCCCTTTCCCTTTCAAAGTGCACAGGGCAGGGAGTTTCTAAGAGGCCAGGACCAAGCTCCCAGCTCTCTGAGCCCTGAATGTTGTCACAATAAATACTGCATGGAACTGTGAATAATAGATAAGTACTGAGAGTTTTTAAAACATTTACACTAGGTTTACAAGAGCCTTCTGTTTATCAGCCACTGCCAAGTTAGAACTCCTTTGAACAGTCAAACTCCCTCATTCCTCTTACTCATTTTGCAGTTTAACTCCTGTGGAGAAGATGAAACCATCTTAAATACAGAGTGGATTCTCTCTTGGCAGGGCTTTGATGTGTGACTTGTGCAGCAAAGGTTTCCTCCTAGGATTTAAACCCAAAAACCACCAAAGCAATTACTTTGACATCCCTTTGGATCATAAAAGAAATCCTTTTTATACATTAGAAAGGTTTCTATATTACCAGCAGTCTATTTATGCACTTTAGAAGGTCAGTGATTCACATCCCTTTAGAAAGAAGGAACTTTCAAAGCAATATGAATTTTGCTTTAGTCATCTTTCATGAATTAAGCATTCCCCTGCTTCCTCTTAGATCAACCCAAATCATTGGGGCTTGTTCCAATTTAGTGCTTAGCTGCTAATAACCATTTTAAAATTGTGGGGAAAAGCTTTAGACCAAAATTCTGCTGTACTATTGTGCTTTCCTAAACTTCAGATGTGTACAAGTCCACCTTCCCAGCTGTCACATTAACTTTGAGTTCACATTTGTGGATTATTAAATATTAAGTCTAATGGAATCAGTTGCTTTAGCTCACTGGTTTGCAAAGGGTAAGTTTTGGGTTCAGTTCTGTGATGTCATTAGAGCAGTTGGCTACTTGATCTTAAATACAGACACACACGAATACATGATATGTCAAACTGTTTCCACAAGTACCTGCTCTGCTGAAATCACCACAATTGCCAGGCAAAAGATGTAAAATTAACACCTTAATTACTTGTGACTTAGGTAGTGTTCACTAGACAAAAATACAGCCTAAATAACCCACTGTAGAACCTTGATGAACAACCACTGCAGGAGCTTTGCACACTAAGAAAGGCAGGGCCCTCATCCCTCCTGCCTCACAGGCAGGACTACTGGAATACACAGTAAAAAAAAAAAATTAAAAATAAGGAAAGCAAAGGATTAATAAGTTCTGTAAAGAAATAAAAGTCATGCAGAGAGGTAGTTGACATGGCTTCTCCTTTTTTGGTAACATCTTTGTAACCCTAAGAAAGAATAACATGAGTAGGTTAGGAAGACACTGCTTTTCAGTGGTTTTGGAGCAATAGAAAAATATTTCAGAGAAAATTATAGCCCAGGTAATGAGAAGAGTCATGTGCCTATGACAAAATTAACATGTTAATGCTGTTGTTACTAAATTTGATGTCAAATTAATCTATGGAACTATATATTTCAGCAAGTGAATTTTTTTTCCCAAAATATTATAGACAACATCTGCAGTTACATGAATCAGACAACACAATAAAAAAATCCTCACAGGTACACAGATGTGAAACACATTTATCACTGTCATTATTTATAGTCTTGTATATGTGATCTTAAGTGGTATTTCTCAAGTTGCCAAAACTGGATATTCAATATTTCCTTAATTGATGACAAACTACACTGAGATATTTTATATGAATTTATTTCAATATTCCAGCTCAGTCCTCAATGGATTTTATGTATTTCTCATAGGCATCTTCAGTCATCAGTTCATCAAGTTCAGCAGGGTTTGCCACAGTCATCTTGATAAGCCAACCTGTAGTTAGGAAATGAAAAAGAATTGCTAATATCCTACAAGAACAATTAAATCATGATACTGCCTTAGGAAAGCAATCCCAGCAGGAACAACCAGCCTTGGATCACTGAAGAATCAGCCAGGCTTTTGTGCAGGCAGAACAACATTTCAGTATTTTAAAAAAATTAATAACCAACCAACTCATCATAAGAAATGACTTTTTGAGTCAGAGCAGTTGTGCAATTTAGTGACAGTGGCATAGGGAGATGCTGTCTTGAAAGAATAAAGGAGCCTGACCTCTCAGTGTCACGAACTCTTACAAGAGCCAAAATTCAGAAATGCAGTCAAGGCAAATAGATTTAAATTCAGCCACAATGTATATCTGAAAATAAGATGTAAAACGGCTGTGATAATGCTTTTATGTTAAATTTTACTGGGCTTGAACTATATTCAGTATATTCCATTTAAATCTCTACACCATTAAACTGGAAGAACAGAAATTGTAGAGACATTTGTAGTAGCAAGAATCCACACCATATTCATTATTCAAAGATAAAAGTGGCATCTTACCATCTTTATAACAGGATTTATTGACAAGCCCTGGATTATCTGCAAGAGCAGCATTAATCTCAGTCACTTCTCCTGAGAGAGGGGAGTAGAGTTCACTAGCAGCTTTCACACTTTCCAAAGCCCCAAACTCATCTGAAACAGAGAATATGATTGCATATTTCTAAGGGAAAAACTCAAAGCATTTCCATTTGTTCAGTCAAGACATCCTGGTGATGACCCAACCAGTGAAGAAATGTTTTGATCTTGTGCAAGAAAACAGATTGAAGTCACCCACTTTATGACAAGGATCACCATTATTAAATTTGATGTTTCTGCTCTTGAATTCTGGGGAATTTGTGCTAGCTGGCTACTACAGAAGGGACAGGAATTCCTTACATTTCATTAATCTTTTGCCTGAAGCCCACAGGAAGGAACAACACCCAACTCTTGGTGCAAGAGACTGAAATATGTCTTTTATCTATAATTTAAACATTTTTATTTGTAATTTGGTTACAAAATCAACAAAAGCACAATTTCAGCAATCCCATTTTTCCTTCAGAAGCACTATCAAGTGTTATAATTGCACTCACTGGAAAACACACATTAGTATTCAGAAGCACCACACTGGAAGCACCCAGCAGCTCTTCCCTTTTTCCTGTTTTGTAGGGAGTTATGGAAATGGGGCCTGGAGCAAAGTTAATCCAGAGCAGCTCTCAGCCACAAGCAAACAAGACAGAGGCTGAAGGAACAGGGAGCTGTCACAAGAGTAGATAGGCACCAGGACAAGGGATCTGAGAACAACTTGTTCTGGGAAAGCCTGGAATTAGGCTGAGGCCAGAATGGGTAGAAAAGAGAACTTAAATGGAAATGAAATTCCTTCAAATAAAGCAAAACTACAAGTTGGTTAATTAAAATCCTACACAGAGAGACCTTTTGTCTAACAGTTAGTATTCAGTGTAATAGATTTGGACAAAACAGTTTGATGGGGATCTATTCCACAAGAAGGATGGCAGAAGAAAGGCCTTCTACTTTACCTCATAAACCCCCATTTCTTTTTAAAAGATTGTCTCAAAATAATAACAATTTTTTCTTCTTATACTACTGAGACAGCTCTCCACCATAATACAGGAAAAGATTTTTTTATTTCTACCTGTTAATGTTCACTTTCTTTAACAGGAAAAGTTACATAATTGAATGATGAAGAATTTAACAACTTGTACACCACCAACAAGGAAAGACTGTAATCATTTTTGATACCTCAAAATTACTGAGTCTCAATATTAATAGAAAAATTAGAGTGTGATATCAATTAGAAGGTTCACATCATGCAACTCACAAAGTGCATAACTGGAGAATTACAAATAAACACTTGAAAGTTCAGATCATATTTTAGAAACAGAATATAGATAAAATTATCACAAAAAATATTTTAATACTTTATTTTTGAATCAATATCGTCACAGTTTAAAAAGCATGTATTTTCTGCTGTTAAGCACAGTCTGACAGTGAGAATTGAAAAGTAAAGCTGCCTCTTGTAGAAATACCTGAATTTATTTTGCATCCAGGAGCTTTACAATGGTATTAGTAACCATAAATATTATTACAGAAAATTTGTCTTTGCAAGGGAAGAGTGGGATGAGTAGAATAATCACTTCAGGAGCAACTAGAACTGAAACTTACCATGTTTACTCAATTTTGTCCCAACTTCTGGAAGACTACAGTAAACAACATCTCCTAATGCTTCCTTAAAAGAAAAACAAAAGCATTAGAGCATACATTAACAAAACTACATATAGAACTGTTACAGTGACTCTAGAATCTGCTTCTAAATATTGTTCTCATTCTTTACAGATTGCATATTTTTCACTTTTTCTTAGCAAATACTTAATGTGAACAAAGTGTTGTGTTATCATGCCCCAAAAAACAAAATATTGTTTCTCTGTTGCAGTGCTAACAAGTCTCAGGCTCAGTCTATATGCAGATTTCTTCTGGCAGAATGAGGAATAACATCTGCTGATCTTCTTAGCATCAGCCACAGAGAGCTGTTAGCACACAGTTTGTCCTCACTGACTGAATTGGGACCCTTATCACCATAAAAATTGTCTCAACTCTTCCCTGACACATACACCCTTTCTCACAAAAGACCAGAGAGTATTAGAGTTATTGACACACACTAAAAGAAACGCTGCTTGTCCTGAGAAACATTAATTCCATTTATTGATACCTTGTCCCATTCTTTAAGTTTTATATACGGCCCAGAATTTGCCTGCGACTATTCCAAATCAGGTACCTGCATGAGAACAAAAAATCCAAAGGAATTCCTATCCTAGAGTAAAAACTACATGCCATGCTGTACATCTGTTCACAACTGTTCTTTAGCCAGAGGGATTTCACCATCTTTGTGTTCAAAGGAAATCTGTCTTAAGAACGTACATAATGTCCTCTTCACACAGCCATGAATGCTCAGGCTTAGATCTGAACACTGAAGTCTCTCACCAAGTCCAGCTCTTCACAGGCTCAATCTGAAGCCATTAAGACCTTATCAGAATGCTGAAGTGGCACAAATATCACAAACAATGCTCACTGTGTTGCATATGCAATTAAAACAATAAAAAAAAACCCGTAAATGTCCAAAGAACAAGGACAGAGCAGATAGGCATAAATAAATATTGCAGACCTGGGCGAGGGCAGAGGGATCAATACCTGTGCAAAATTGCTGATTCCTACTGTTCCAATGCCATTTTCCACAGATATCCACTCGTGCTTGTCTGTGAATTTGCGGGCTGAAAGGAAACAAAGCTGACATTTCAGACAGAAGTGACATCTTGCTCACTGAAATACAGTAACACATTTGCAGCCTTAAACCATGGGGCTTTTCATTGAGTTTGCTAATTTTTCTTGGAAAATATTTTAACCAGCACATGCAATTTACAGAAGCTCAGAACATGCTCAGTGACAGGGCAGAGGCTCACTGGGTGTCCTGCTCAGAGCATTATCGGTTCCTGCGCAACCATCTGGAGACTGATAAAGTACAGAAGCAAAAAGAGCAGCTCTACTTCAAACAGCAGTGCAAATCTAAAGTTTTGATGTGTGTTTTATTCATAGTTATACATTTCTATGATAGCACAGTGGCTTTTCAAACATATTTGGTGTTTATTTCGGATAACTATTTATTATGGCTGGGAAGGCCAGTGTTGCTGACTCTAGAAACATGGTGAGCATTACAGCATCTCATTCCAAATGAAAAGCTGGCACAGTTCTATGCATTATTAAGGCAAATTAACACAGGACAAATTAATTAGGCAACTCAGACAACTGCTACTTAATAGAATTGCTCTCTGTTAACATTGTCACTGTGAGAAGAACACAGTAGTTATTCTGTATCACTTTGAAATAGGTCTGTTAAAACCTTGTTAAGCCCTTTCACAGCAAGTTTACAATTCTCCTTACATTTCAGATCTGGAAGATTCAAAACAGCTTTATCAGAGGCAATTGTTTTTATAAAGACATATGGAAAAACTTCAAAAGAAGTTATTGAAACAAGTAACATTTTTCTTGCTAACATTTTTCCTGGAACTTTTCTTACTCTGAGAATTTTCAGCCTGCCATGTCTGTTTCCTCATTTCTACATAATATCCCTGTAGATACCTTCATACTTTCAAAAAAAATGTAATTAATTTATTTTCCACTTTCAGCACCCATCCAGTCAGGCAAGGGATGTTGCAGAAACTGGAAAAGGTAACTTCTGAAACAGCTCCCTGAGTGATTAGCACCACAATAGTACAGCTGCACCTTCCTTTTGAGTGCAACTCTCCTCTCAAACTCATCCTGTGGCCTGAACTCTTTAAGGCAAACACCAGAGAAACTACACTTCTGCACCTGTATACTGGAATACTCCTTGTGTAATTTCTAAAATTGTACATGAAGGAAAACAGAAGCTCTCACTGTAGATCTGCTAAAATCTTTCCACACAGTCAATACTTTAAGCTTCTTCAGTTGCAGTGATCCTCTTGTGTCTGAAAAGTTCAAGAGTAGCAAATGGTTTGTCTTAGAATAGGGCCCAAATATTATAGAGCTCAGCAGAACAATATGTGGGTTTGCAAGTATAATACACAAACAAATATGAGTCAACAGTAAACATTAAGTATTTTCCCATTAATTATCAGTCAAAAATCCAAAGAATTTCATCTAGCACTACTTATAACTACAAAAAAATCTCATTACACACTCTAATGAACAGAGTCTTAAATGTCTCAAATAATTTTGGGTCCAGATGTTAAACTCATGGGGGTTCTATTGGAAATGAGTAATGAACCGTAAGAATGGAGAATGACAATTGACAAATCTCAAACTCAAGCTGAACATTAATGATGTTACGCATAGCACAAGAAAAAAAAACAAACAAAACAAAAAAAAAAAGTGAAAAATTAAAATTCTGAGCATGCAACAAAAACACTGCAAATGAAGTAAAGGTCAAGTTAAAAACAGTTAATAAGTAATCTGAAAATTTGAACTTTGAGATTATGTGGTCAGCCCATTAAATAAATCAACCTAAAGGAATATGAAATGTCAATGCATACCAAATCTCTCTCTGTATTCTTTTGCAGAAGAGCAGCTGAATTTACTCTAGCTTCATTCATTTCAACAGGACTTCGGTTTCTGTTTAACTAGCACACTCTGAACTCAGCCCTTCATTTAGTGTAACTTACCTCTATTAACTATATTCATATATACCTGAAAAGTGAACTCCCACCTCCACAAAGAGGCATACAAAACTTTTCCTCTCTGCCTCAAACAGAAGCACTGTTTGCTATTCCTTCAAGTGATGCGTATAGGAAAACAATGGGTACATTGGGCAGAATAGTGAAAAACAGCTTAGATCTTGACTCAGTTTGCAAGTAATGAACAATAAATAATATATCTTTCACTTGCAGAAGAAGACAATTAAACAGGTAGGTTTAAGATTGTCTGGAAATAAATGGATGAGCTCTTCTTAGTGGTAGTCATTACTTCTACAACCTATTTGCCTCCTCTTCTTGCCCACTTTTTAAACATTTCTGTTTGTTAGAGTACCACAGGTTCTGTTTTTCAGACTTTCCTGGGCAACTTCCAATCCAAGAGAGCTTTGACAGCAGTAGATACTTTCAGAACTCACTACAGCAAATGCAGAATCGCGGCAAGCACTGATGCACGAGTCCATGCCCTGCCGTGCCGCGGTGGCTGCACAGGAGCCAGGGCCAATTTGCAGCCCAGAGCGGCTCAGGGCCCTGCGAGCCTGGCAGGGTCTGTGTGGCTGCCCGCGCCGGTCCCTGCGGCGGCTCTGGCCTCGCCAGACACCCGCCCCTGCCCCTCTCTCGGGCTGCTGATGCTCCTCGGAGCCAGCATCAGCCTGCTTGTGAGCGGCACTCCCGGCTGGAGCCAGCCGCCCTTTCGGGCAAGCCGGGGCGCTCCCGCTCGGCCCACTCTGCCTCCTTCCCCTTCCCCAGAAGGGACGGAGCCGCTTTGCTCCGAGGCTGAAAGTTTCTGGGCAACTAACGGGGGTGAAGCCGCTCCTGTGGGAGCCCAGCAGCGCCCGGGGCAGGCGAGGGGCGCTGGGGGGCTCAGACATCTTGCGGGGCTCGCCGGACACCGGGGGCTCCGGGCGGCTGCAGCATCCGAGGGGCCGCGGCACGGCGGGAGGGACACGGGGACAGAGGGCGGCTGCCGCCAGCGGGACCCGCACTCCGGCAGCTCCGCGCACCCAGCCCCGCCTGGCGGGGGCTTCCCCCGCGGGCTGGGCCGGGGCGAGCCCCCGCAGCCCACCCTGCCGGGCGCAGCTACCGCCGGCTCCCCGCAGCACCGGGCCGCTGTCCCGCCCGCCCGCCGCGCACCTCCCTCCCCCGGGCCGCCACTCACCGGCCAGCAGCAGCGAGCCGGTGCCCAGCCGGCGGGCCGCGGGCTCCCGCGGCGGCAGCGGGAGGCGCGGGAGGCGCGGGCAGCGCGGCGCCAGCACCGGCCCGACCCGCCGCAGCGCTCGCCACGCCATCTTTGCCGGGGCGGGCGGGGGCGGCGCCGGCGGGAGGCGGCGATGGCGGTGGGGCGGGGCCGGCGGCGGCTGAGGGGACCCGCGGGCCCTGCGGAGCGGCCCGGCTCGGCTCGGCTCGGCTCGGCTCGGCTCCTCGCCCCCGGCTCCTCGCCCCGCCGGCAGCGGGCACGGGGCCCTGAGGGAGCGGAGCCGCCATGTTCCGTGCGCCGCCGCGGCGGAGACGGAGAGGATGGAGCCAGGCAGTGCAGGAGCCGCTCGGCGTTTATTAAATAAATACAAGACTACAGCAAGTGCACGTGGGACGTTTCGCCTTAGAGTTACCGCTATTTCTTAGCTGTTACTCCACAATAGCGTGCCGGCAGCACTTCAGGGGTGAACACCGCGTGGTATTCCCAGAATCGTGGGAAGGGACCCACGAGAATCGAAGTCCAACTCCTGGCCCTGCAGAGACACCCCAACAATCCCACACGTGCCTGGGAGCATTGTCCAAATGCCCTCTTGGGCTTGGGGCCGGGCCCATTCCTGGGGAGCCTGTTCAGTGCCCGAACACCCTCTGGGTGAAGAACCTTTTTCTAATACCCAACACAAACCTCCCCTGACACAGCTCCAGCTATTCCCTTGGGTAAACCCATTTTAATCAGAAGCTGTAATAACCTAAGCCTATAGCCTAACCTAACTCTAACCACTGCAGCTGATAGCAAACAAGTAAATGCTTTGCCCACAAGCAAAGTGACTTTTCTAGGTGGCCTTCATTCACTCGCTGGCAGATTGTTCCAACTGTTCACCAGCAACCGGCTTCTCTTCCTTCTTGCATTTTATCCCAAAGAAACTGAAGACTTTCATTAGCATTAGATCAACAATCTCCTCTTCTTCTGAAGCCTGAAATAATAACAAATAAGTTACTCAAGAGGTGGACACCCAGAGTGGATTCAGTCTCTGCTAAAGCCAGGGCAGGTTGCAAGACAAAATCCCTACTTGAGGTGAAATAAGCCAACTTTCAACAGAGCATTGAGTGACTGCCAAACAAAACATTGTGCCAATATTTTTATCTAGACAGAAGCCCCAGATGAGTATGGACACTACAGAAATTTTGGCTGATAATCTCTCTACAGGAGCCTGGAATGCACTTACCAGCTCCCATACAGTTCATGGTATACACAATGAGACACCCACCATTTCAAGCTGAAGTAAATGAGAAAAACTAAATATATATAGTATTCTATCAACCATATCCTTTGTTTTCATCTCCCTTGACTTTCCATAAAACATAGAGGAATTCTGGGCAGTACTGGAGTGTTAAGATGGATTTCACACCACACTATCAATAGCTTGAATGGGTTAGGCACACACAGTGAGAGTTTTACAAGAAGCTGTAAAGCCTCATGCACTTCAGTAGCAGTTTTGGCACTGATTTCAATATAGCCCAGCACAAGCCCAAGAGTTTTTTGATGGATGTAGTATGTGAACAGAAGGCTACAAATCAGATCTGAACAGGGACTCATCTGAACACGAATGGACAGTGTAAATCTGGAAAATCTGAAGTGTACTTTCTGAGCAAATGTTGCCCTCTTAAGAGTTGGACTGAATTTACATGGCTTTCATCCATGGCTGAATACCTGAGTAAGCACTGAACAAAAAATGTTAAAAGCAAGAGAGCTTAGATGAACAAACCTGGTAATGCTTCTGCTCCTCACTAAAAGCAACCAGAATCACCGAAATGAACAGATTCAGTACCACAAATGTCATAAAAATGATGCAGGATCCAATCAAGAAGGAGCCTAAAACTGGATTGTAGTCCAAGACCTGTATCATGCATAAGGTAAGATATCAAAAAAACAAACAAAAAAGCATAAATACCTATCTACATATATACATACAAGCAGTTATGACCCAATAAGAAGTCTATCACCTTGAAAATCCCGTGTCTAATCAATTATGACATATGTATTATACATATATATAAATTTTCTACTCTACTATTATCCTTTGTTGATATGATATAGTACAAAGACAGCAGAATCTTTTATATATATGCATGTGAATATGGGCAGTCTTTGGAGGTTTTTAAGTATTTGCATTTAATTGTAATGGCATGACAGTTTAGCATTAAAATTCACAAACCCAGAGATCTGTTTATCCACAGAACAGTTGAAGTTTTCTAATGTATCAATTTTCAAAATAGGTGAAATCCCTGTATGCATTTCATTTATTTTACTGTATACTTTACAAAGAAGCACAGTCAGACTGTCAGCGACACTTATAAACCAAGGGTTATGAAAAATCAAACCACTGATTTTTATATAAGCTACAACATAGAAATATATTTTCATTATTAACATGAGCGGGATGTAGAGGTGAAAATGTGCCAAATGTGCCAAATGGCTGATCTTCAGAGCCACCCAAATCCTATTGGATCCAATCTACCAAGGAGGATATTTTTCACAGTCAGAGATGTCCAAGAATTAAACCACAAAGAAATGTTCGAAGGATATTGAAATATTTGAAAGATCTTACTGAAAAAGTGGTATACAAAGAATAACAACAAAAAAAATTAACATAAAGTTCCCTTGTGGAAGGCCTTGCCTTTCTTGGGAAGAGAGAAGGGGTGTTCAGAACAAACACAGGGCTTTGTTCACAACTCTATCTGTAGCTTTCTAAGGAAATTGTTCAAAACATTTTGTAATAAATTAATAACATCTCTAGTTGAAATTTGAGCAGGATTCTTAATTAAAGGTTCATTATGAGCCTCCTCATGGTCAAAACAGAACATGAAAGATGTTTCACTTGATGTCCTTTTCTTGCTTAGGAAGGGTGATGGCTTTAGGGAGCTGTGGAGCTTGTAAAATTAGACTAATGTTTAACACTAATTGAAAGTCCTTCTATTTGTTGGGTCAAATCATATTTGATAGCTGAGATACCAATTGTATGGCTGTAAACTCCTCAAAATTAGATGTGGTACCTCCTCATAGTTGAAGATTCCCAGCTGAAGACTGACCATGGTCTCTGCCGAATCAAGGAGAGTTTTGTAAGAGCAGAGCTTCCAGCCAAATATCAGGTTTGCCTGCAGAGGACAGAAATCACGTCTTGTGTCATGATCAGAGTTCTTGCTGCAAAATGTGTTTAACTTGAAGACCTTTTATCATGGATATGAGAATGTCTTATATCCTCTACGCCTGCCACTAAATATGCAAATATTTCCCACTCATACCTAGCCAAACAGAAAATGGCACTTCCTGAGTGCTCCACAATTTAAGCTTTATCCAGAAAGTCTTTTTTCCGGTACTTTGTTCTTTGTCACATCTATTACACATAAAGAGTCCTTATTTTTCAGCTCAGTGTTTGATTTTTCACTAAATTTCAGTTTGCAAAGAACAGATAACTGGATGTTTTAACTTCTCTTTCACTCATCTGGAAAACTTGGGTGCCAAGCTGCTAAACTGAGATTTAGACAGGCAGCTTTATTCCATTTTACATGGCAAAGATATGTTGCTTTTAGCATTCAAAAATAGTTGATTTAACTTGACAGTACCTGGCAGCAGACTGCAGACAAGAGAAAGCACTGTGGTACTCACAGCAATGGAATAGGCAAGAAACATGATTGCAATAACAGTGATGAATCCAGAGATATCACCCCATGCCCTCCTTAGTGTTGAAGTGATCATGTTCAGTTTAGGGTTGAGCCTCAACAGATGCCACAGTTTCACTGTGGAGAGAAGCACCAGGAATGCAATCAGGTAGCCAAGAACTGCATCAGCTCTCGCTGTTTCACTGAAGCTTATGGAGCTGTTAGGAAAAAAAAGAAAATACATAATATACCATGCACACAGAATCTTTTGAAGTGCATAAATGGATATGCTGGAAAAGCCAGTCACCCTGTGCTGGGGTTTCAGTGGAGACCTAATGTGCTCCTGCTTGAGTGTTTCCACCTGCACTACTATTGTGTGCACATAAAAAGCTCAATCGTGCATGGCAAACAATTTTAAGGAGAGGCAGTATAGGCTATGGCCCAAATTCTGCTCATTATCCTGTGATTTTATCACCTCTTTCGTGTGTTACAATTTTTTAAAAGATATTATAATCTTCCATTCTGTACTAAATATTCTATTATTGTCCTCTAACCAATGACTTTTTACAACAAAGAACAAGGTAGTTTATGTGCTTTCTGGGTGGATGTCCTGTAGCAGAAAGGCTTGTTGGTTCACAAGAGGGTGATGCAGACAGAAAAGTAGGAGCTAAAAAAGGGCACTTGGTGCTCAAGTCTGCTGGATTTTATTAGAGCAGTATCAGAAGAAAATCCTATTGCTGACACAAATCTAAGCCCTGACACACTTATAGGCTTCATGAATATAAAGCCATCTAGGATAGCAATATTTAGCACAGAAAAGGTGCTATCTGGGAAGAGGAAAAATAGATTTATTTCTGCATAAGTAGCAACAACAAAGAATGCACAAAATAGCATTAGTACTTACTCCTCCTTATGTTCCTGGTAGTAGCTGATGTCACGCGTCCCAAGGACTGTCCGTTTCACAAACACTGACAGAGCACTCCAGCTAATCAATATAATGGCCATCTCCAGGAGATTCCACTTGCTATGGAAGTATCTCCATCTCAGACTCTTCAGCAGCTTTCCCTGTGAGGAGTTTTACTGTTTCAGTCTCATGACTCCATATCACACAGTGCATCTCTGAAGATTAGGACAGTTCCCTCCACAACTAAGCAGACTGCTCTGCATTAATAAAACTACATCTTGCACTAGTTTCTCATTATCTTTCTCAAAAACAGCATCCAAGCTAAATAAAGTGTTGGTTTCCTATTATTTGATACTCACGCTGTACCTGATTCCATCTTCCACTGGTGTAGCAGCATCAGTGCTACTGAAATCAAGTACAGTCCTAAAGCTTTTGGAAGTGAAATGAACAACAGACACAAGGTACTGCTCTTAGCAAAACTTTCCAGTGGGCCTCACCTGTACTATCATGTAGTACACAATGAAGAGGAAA